TGTATGCAAATGGAGCACGAGGAATGAACGAGGTTGAAGGTCAAAGGAGCTTAAGAAATGAAGAAATGAAAGTGAAGAGCAAGGAAGTCGGAATTGGTAACCAAAGTTTCTAAAGTTGGAAGTTTCTATTCTTGGAGGTTTCCATTGTCGTGAGTTTTTATTCTTGGCTTTGGGCTTTTAGATGACCTAAACCCTAACTCTTTGTGGACCCTAAGCCTATGCCGCACCTAAACCCTAACCTTAGCCCATTTTAGAGCCATTGCCGTGGGCTTTAGCCCAAGTCCTTTCCCTTGCCATGCAAGGGGGGGCATTTTAGGCCCAAATCCATGCATTAAGCCCTTCACCCTAATTAGCCCAAATCCATGCATTAAGCCCTTCACCCTAATTGGCCCAAATCCATGCATTAAGCCCTTCACCCTAATTCTTCCTCCTAATTAGTGCATCCCACCATTCCATTCCATAATTTCCATTAGTGCATCCCACCATTCCATTCCATAATTTCCATTAGTGCATCCCACCATTCCATTCACACTTAAATGCCCATTATCCCATTTTTTTTAGCTTTTAATTCCACACCATCCCATTATCCTTTACATCCACTAAACCATGCATCCACATTCACCTAAATAAACCCTAAATTACATCCACTAAACCATCCATCCACCATAATTCCCACCATCCACACCTTTTCCCATCCACCAAATACCTTAAACAAACATCCATTAACACCCATTCTCTTCCTATAAATACCCATTCATTCCATTCACCAAATCATCTCATTTTCCATCGTAATACACAAACACTTCCCCTTCTCCATTTCCTCCATTTCCACTCCATTCCACACTTCCCATCCCTCAAAAACACTTCATACCATCACATAACCTATCCTTAAACCTTGTGCTACAACAACGAGGAAGAGAAGAGTGCCTAAACGTTCATACAATTCAAGTTTGAGTTGTTGGAATGTTTAGGTGTTTCTTTGATTTCAAAGTTTCATTTTAATTCTCTTTGTTTTGTACGTATAAGGAATGGAAGAGAAGAGTGCTTAAACGTTCATACAATTCAAGTTTTGAGTTGTTGGAATGTTTAGGTGTTTCTTTGAATCCAAAGTTATGAGGAACTAATCCCCCTTTAGCTAGGAGGTGATTCAAAACTATGTTTATATTTGCAATATGAATTGATTAACTTTCGTTGAAATTTCATAAGTTGTGGATTTAATTTGTTTAACCGTTTGATTGATAACTTATTTATGAATGTTTATTAAGAATGCGCGCTTAATTTTCATGCATAAATATGACGCTAGAATATAAATGATTTTCACCTAATCGTTATGAACTTATATTCACAAGTAGTGGAGGTTGCTTATAAACAATCGCGTTAAATGAATTCTTGGCACGAGTTTCATGCTCATCATAGTAACGAATGCCTCGTCAACGCTTATAGTTTTCATAATACTTAATGATCTTTGATTGTATCTTTATTGTGCTGTTCACGTAAAGGACTTTTGGAGAATGTTGTGAATTGCGTTGCGCAAACCCATCCAATTCATTAACTTAAGGAAAACTTGACGGTTAATTTAAGCGGACCTAATTAATCCGGAGTGTTGAGTTTCATAATTTATCGAAAGACCAACTGAAAATCATTTTGTATGCAAGTGTAACATGTGTGGAGAAGAACCTTCTAGCTAGCATTCATTCCATATTTCATCACATTCATATTTAAATTCTGCCTTTAAATTACAATTTTGTGCTTTTAATTTATTTTCGTAAAAATCTCAATCCCCCTTTACTTTAGTGTCCAATTTAGTTAGAAAGTGTCTTAGTTTGTGTTTATAAGTGTTTTGCATTCTTTGAGTCTAGTTTAGTGTTTTTAATGTTTATTTCACGTTTTTGAGTCAATCTCCAAGTGATTTTGCAATCCCTCCTAATCCCCGGTTAAGAACGATCCCTACTTATTCATATACTACAATTGTCACAAGAGGGTTTAATTTGAGTGTCAAGTAAATCTCGCATCACTAAGCAGGACCGAAATGACACACTAACGGTTAAAAACATGCACTCGAAGAGGAGATGTGAGAATGCAGACTTTTTAAGGTTTTGTGTTGTACGGGTAGACTATATATATTTATTCTGAAATCATACGTATGCATTGCATATTGTTTTTTCTCTATCAGTTGTTTTTTTCTTTAAAGGTAAATATGTAATGCAAAATTTTATTTGAATTCATTTATTTTATTTCTACACTTAAATTAAAAGCTTATTTAACGAAAGTCCAACTTTGTCCCGAAATAAATAAAGAATTTACTTTAACAACAATTAGAATTTGTAGATGGATCCTGCTACAACTAGAAAGAACGGAAAGGAATGGTGGTTCATATTCAATTAATGCTCTACTTTCTCTCTTTCTTGTTTCTTTGTCCGAACTTGGACCAAATCAATTGGGAAGAGAGATACGGCTGTGAATTGGTGTTGATAGGAGGAGTATGGCAGAGCCATGTTGATGTCGACACCGGCAACCGACATAGTATGGTGGTTCATATTCTTCTCAAAATTAGAAGAGGGAGGAGGAGAAAGGGAAGCAAAAGAAGGGATGGAGTAAACAGTTGTCCACGACCTTAGGAAATTTTTATGTTTGGTTTGGTTTGTTGGAAGTAATGGAAACTTTCCGCCGCAGGGTGTGGTGGTTTAGGGTTATTAATAGAGAGGAAAACACCCATCTTTATTTTCTTTTCTTTTTTCTTATTTATTAAACGTAAATTTGATAATTTGGTGAATAAAATTGTTCAATTGGGTGTAATCGTCATATGAGTCCAAATAAAATTTCTCATATATAATATTTTACAAGGAATGATTAGCCTATTGATATTCTTCTTCACTAATAAATGAGAGGTGTTATGTTTGAATCTCATAAATAATGAGTTCACAACTAATTTATTTTCCTACCCCATAATGCAAATATAGGCTGACTCATTAGCTAAAAATGAAAATAAAGATGACGAAAATATATATTGCAAATATAGGCTGATAACAAAAATACATTATCACACTTTTGTTCTAAAAAAAAAAAATACATTACAAGGAGAAAAAAATGTATAAAGGAGAATAATAATATGACGTGAAAGAACGATAATGACGTTATATGTCTACAACCCAAGTTGTGTTATATTTAATTATAATTAAGTATGGTTACATCTTATTTCATGTGGACGCTATATGGAATTTAACATTTCTTGGTTCTTTATTAGTTTTGATGGTTGCAGCGAACCTAAGATGTTGTTGAACTGATCTATCCGAACAAAGATATAGATTGATTTCTTCTTCTTCTTTCTTGCAAACAGTGTTCTGCCATTAAGGAAAATAGGAAAAGATGACTGTTGAAATTTAATTCAACGACTACAATTATTATCATTTTTAAAAAATTCCTGTTTATAATTGTTAGATTAAATTTCAACAATCTGAATTCCATACTAGGTGGATTATCCATTTCCGGAAAATAGAAAGCGGAAGAGTATAAAAGTAGTGTTAAATTGTTAATCTAACTACAAATAGGATTCCAGCAGGTAGATTAGATAGATACATCACTATTTCCATCTAAATTTTCTGCAGGGAAAGACTCTGAAAGATTCTCTGAGCTTCTTCAATGATAACCCCAGATCATTTTTTCTGATATTTTATGTCAATTTGCTGACCTAGTCAAACATTGCTACGGTAAAATATTTATTTTGAAATATTTATTCATCGTAGACTCATAGTTTAATTTTGGATAAAAATAACAAAGAAAGTAGGTAGTTTATTAACTTACCATAGCATAATTAAACCTAACCATGGGATTAATGTTCTAAACAGAATATTATGATCTAGTAGTATTCATCTTTATGTGCAAATAAAAGGTATTAGGTTTGATTCTAACCAAAAATAAATTTAAATTATATTATTATTAATCTATTACGAGACTAATTACATCATTTCTCTTTCTTAGAGTAAATAATCGTTTGTTAAAAATAAAAACAAAAAAAAAAATTTTGACATGTAGAAGAACAATAATTAGCTCAAATGCTTTGGATTTTTATTTATTTTGCTTGGCTTTTTATTTTAAATTTTTAATATTTCAATGGGTTTATTTTATAAGTAACGGTGGTTATGGTGGTTCTCTAACCTTTTATAGTACCATTCAACAGCCATCATCCCTGATTCGGTTGCTTGCCCACCTCATAATATTCCAGAAAAACTAAATTAATTTAATTTTAACTTAATTAAATATTATATAATTCTTAACATGTTGCTAAACCTCATATCTCCGTTTCTTCGTTTCACACTGAATCAAAACAACCACTCTCCTCTCTCTCTCTCTCTCTCTCTCTCTCAGACATGGGTTATGGCTGCCCCACCTTGATCTTTTGAATGGAACCTCGAACAGAGAAGCAGCTTCTTTTTTGGAGAAGAGAAAAGGCTAGGGAACAACCCACGTTCCTCTCTCTCTCTTTCTCTCTCTCTCTCGTCTTCTGTATATTCAAACCCTAATTGACCTTTAACCCAAAAATAGTAAAAAGAAGAAGGGATTGGATCTCGGACAACACTAATAGCTTTCCGTTCTTTCTGCAACCATCAATTTTCATGATCCGTGTCTGCATCCGTGGCCTTGGGTTCTTTATTATTCTCTTGTGCACGCACGCACACGGCATACCCTTTTGCAGCTCCAGGACAAACCACCTACCAAGCTCTGTCCTCTCCCCTCCTTTCAGATCTCAGTTCGGCTTTCATTAATTCCAGCAGGCATGCATCCATATGGCTTCTTGTACGCTTGTAGCGGTACTTTCTCAACAGCTTAGCTCACCCGTCTCTCTCTCTCTCTCTCTCTCTCTCTCTCTCTCTGTACCTTGTTTGTTTGGTAGCTTGCTCTTCTTAAATGAGTTTGTATTTTAAGTAACCAAATCTCTCTCTACTCCTTCATATCTTTGTCCCTCCGGTTCGTCTTTCCATTTCTCTCTCTTTTTCTCTCGCATGGATTCTGGCAACAGTGGGAGTATGCAATCCTCCAGCGGCGGCGATGACGAGTACGATTCGCGCGCTGAGTCAATCTCCGCCGTGCTCAGTAACCCACCGAGTCAACTCGGTCCCATGTCTAACCCACCACCACATGACCATCACCATCACCACCACCACCAAATGGACCCTCTATCAAACATGTTCGATCCGTTATCATCCAGGCTCACCAACCCAAATCCGCTCCTCAATTTCGACATGATGTGGTCCAAAACCTTAAGATCCGACCCCAATTCCACCGATCTAGCCGGTCTCAGCCAACCCTTATTGACCAGTCCCTGTATCAACCAATTAGGACAAAGCAGAGGCGGCGCAGCCGCCGGCGGAGGAGGAGGCGGGTCGTCTACTTTTGCGGCGCTTCAGATTCAACAAGACATTCAAAACGTTTCTGCCTCTTTTTCGGCTCCCAACAACCAAACCCACAACAACAACAACAACGGTGTTGTGCGGAATCCGAAAAAGAGGTCGAGAGCGTCGAGGCGAGCACCAACGACGGTGCTGACAACGGACACCACAAATTTCAGAGCCATGGTTCAGGAATTTACAGGTATCCCTGCTCCTCCATTTTCTTCTTCCTCACCTTTCGCGAGGAGCAGATTGGACCTTTTTGGCAGTGCTGCTGCTGCCTCTTCATTGATGAGATCAGCAGGAGGCGGAGGAGGAGGAGGGGGTCTAGGTTTGGACGCTACTCCTCCATACCTTTTGAGGCCTTTTGCGCAAAAAGTGACGCACCAACCACCATCTTCATTGCTTGATCCTATTAACTCATCCTCCACAAATCACAATCTCCTCAATGTGCAAAACCAAAACCCTTCATCATCATCATCTTCCTCACAAGTTCTCAATTTCCAATCCCTTTTTCAGTCCCAACAACAAAGTCCTAAATACCCATTAATGTCCGTTACTTCACCACCTCATCATCATCAAGCAGGCTCTTTGGGGGGTCCTCCTCATCAACATTTTGGTTTGACTCATCAGCAGCAGGTTAATGTTAATGCGCTTTCCAACAACATTGTATCTTCCTCGGACGCCGCGCTTTCCATGCACGACACTAGTAATGGTCCAAGCTGGGGTACTGACAGAACAGGGTCCAACAAGAACATTGACAGCAGCGACAATATCGTTGATCATCAAAGACTAATGAGTTCTATCAATGGCAATTACGGCAATGGGAAACTCAACTACTCGGCTGTTGGTCCTTCGTCGAATATTGTACTTCATGCCGGCAATGTGCCTTCATCTACTGCTGCTGCTGCTGCTACTACCACTCCTCGAAGCGAAGGTATGGTGGAATCATGGATTTGCTCCTCAGATTAGGCTTTTTCTCAACAACCAAATCATTACACTAAAATTCATCAAATCTCTGTGGGTTGGCCTCCCTCCATTTTAACCATGACCACCACCAACATAATTAAATTATGAGGACCCTTTTTGTTTCCCTTTGCTTTTTCTCTCTTTATATGTAAATAATAGACTTCCTCTTTCTTTTTCTCTTTTCTGTTCATACTTTATACACGATCCATTTATATATTTTGGGTCTTTTTGTGACTCAAATGCTAAAATGTGTGTTCATACATGGCTTTGGTCAAGTTGGACCACTGTTGTAATTAGCTGCAACCTGAATGCATGCATGATTCTTTCCCGAACATTATTTTTCACAAATGAGCGGTTTAGATCTCTGGAATATCGATGATCAAGCAGATAGGTAGAAAATATTTAATAAATATATAATTAAATATATCTGAATACAAGAAGCAAAATGTACTAGTACTAGCACAATAGCACCGCACCGCACCAAATGGCCTGCGAATAGAGGGGGCGCGTTGGGGATGAGCAAAATGTGCAGTCGCATAAAGAATGATCATCTCCGGATTTCTTTTTATTAAATTCATCTAGTTCGGGATTTGGATTGTTGGAATTTGATTTAATGGCTACAGTTATTATCACTTTTAAAGATGCTCTCTGTTTGTAACTATTGAATTAAATTTTAATGGTCTGGATCCCAAACTAGGTGGAAAGGGATCTAGCACAGGCTTCAAATTTGAAAGAGCTCCAAAATTTCGCCATATAATATTATGTAATGATGTTCTATATTTAAAAAATGATTGTTGTTAGCATTTAAAATCTCATTACATTCTTTATAAGTGTAATTTTTTTAATATAAAAAGGTAATACTAGAATGACTAAATTTATAAACTAAATAATATGTTCTTAATAGGAAATGGAGCATATATAGTATTGCTTAAGTAATAATCCAATAAACTAATCATCGACTCATATGTTTAATTTACAAAATTTTATCTACAAATTTAATCTTTCTAACATTACTCAATATAAAAATATGGAGTACAATAGGATATTCTAATTGTCAATAATGAAATCTCAAAAAACGATAGTTTTTCAACTTTATTATATAATAATATTATATATTCAAATGAAATTTTAAAGTTAGAGTTTTGAAGATTTTTGTTTTATTTTTGGTTGTTTAAGATTGAATTGTTTTTGATTATTTAGTAAAGGTTATGTTTGTAGTTTTTTTAATTATAATTAATAATGTTTGTAAACTTATAATCAGTGAATGTTAAAGTTTATTTTGATTTAAGTGATCATTTTCTAACATCAATACATTGTTCTATTTTTTTAAAAAAACTATCTTAAATAAGAGTCATTTTATAAATTTTGCACTGGCCTCCGAAATCTCGCGGTCCTGCCTGATAATTGAGAGCTTTGTCTGCTTGCTTGCTTTATTAATCTCCCTCCGAAATCTCACGGTCCTGCCTGATAATTGAGAGCTTTGTCTGCTTGCTTGCTTTATTAATCTCCCTATCCTTTAATTTCATATTACTCTTTCAAATTTCTTTTTATTTTTCAATTATTTTGTTGAATATTATATATCACGTCTAGGAGTGATTGGTGGCGAGATTCGGGGTATAGTTAGCCGCCGCAATATCTTTCATACGAATCAAATATCTTTCATGTGCGTATGTTTGCAGTTCTTTTGTTGTTTTCCTTTTCTTTTATTTTTTATTTTAAAATTAAAAGATTGATGTCGCTTAATGCTACAGTTCATTGGTGTTTCTCTTTACTTGTAGGTAAGAGGTCTTTGGTTCGATTCTCGTCAAAGATAAATTTGAACCACATTATTGTTAGCTCATTATGAGGCTTAGCTTGCCCTTACCCTTAATGTACATAATATTGCTTGTTAAAAAAAAACAAAAATTTAAAATATTAATGGCTATTATACAACAAAACCCATAAATGATGGATACCCCCAACATATTTTTTATTTCTAATCATGCTCCGAAGAAGAGCAGCAAATGCTGTTAAACAATTAATTACAAATAGACACCTGTTTGAATAATTAAAATTGAAAACTATGATTTTTACACTTGTTAATTTGTGTTATTTCAGCTTCACTAGCTACTTTTTTTTAGCAACCAAGCATGGCTATTTTTTTTCCATGAGGGTCGTCCATACGTTGCCCTCCATTAAATTATCATTAATGTGCATATACTTCCATACGTTGCCCTCCATTACATTTCATACGTAATATTAAGTGAGGACCCTTACCGGATCTTTTTTGTGAGGGTTCTGGAGATCCTTAAATCATATACATTCATCGTATATCTTGCAGCCAATTTTCGTCAAGTACTGTTTATATTCAATTTTAAATATAAAAAAAACTTTGATTTCTGACCGCACGATGTACGTTGAACAAATATCTGAGATCCTCAGAAAGAGGATCTGACGAGGATCCTTTCTCGTTAATATCTCCATGTTTGTACTTAAGCAAAATATAATAATTCAAATGAACAACAACAACAACAAAGCATTTTCCCACTAAGTGGGGTCGGCTATATGAATTCTAGAACGTCATCGCACTCAGTTCTGTATCACGTCTTCTGTTAGATATAAGTACTCTAAGTCTTTTCTTATAGTCTCTTCCAAAGTCTTCCTAGGTCTTCCTATACCCTTTCGGCCCTGAACCTCTGTCCCATAATCACATCTTTTAACCAAATCGTTAGTAGGCCTTTGTTTCACATGTCCAAACCACCGTAACCGATTTTTTCTCATCTTTCCTTCAATTTCGGCTACTCCTACTTTACAATTAAATTAAATTATGATGGGGCTTGGCTTTGGGTGGGTTGCCAGAGATTTTGCTGGTATTTTCAAAGGAACTGGAGGTGTGGGAAACATTCTATGTGAGTCCAGATTGCTAGCAGAGGTGGAAGCAATGAAGGCGGCTTTGTTGGCTTGTGTGGAGAAAGGCATTGGGATAATTCAATTGGAAACAGTTTTGAAGGTTATGGTGGACATGTTAAATGGAGTATTGCAACTGGGTGCCGTCATTGAAGGTATTCTTTGAGATATTCAGCATCTATAGTAGCAATTAAGTTCGGTTGAGTTTCTTTTCACTCCCCGTGCCTGTAATGGGGCTACGCATCAGGTGGCATCTTATGTCGCGCGTGTGGAAGGCTATCATATGTGGGATTGCTTTGAACTAGAGTGGTTGTTCAATTCTCTAGCTTCTGATGTAAAAATTTTAATTCGTATCTAATAATATTTACTCTTTGACAAAAAAAAAAAACAAAACAAAAAAAAAAAGACCTAAGGTGAAATGAACTCTTTTTAGTTGTCTTTAAAGTACATCCACATGAATTTCTATTATTGTCTATTTTTCACAACCACGAATGTCGATTGTGAATTCCTTCCTTCCCTTTTTATTTTAGGCTTAAATATCAAAATGCTTGCTTATGTTATACTGTAAAACCTCTAATATATAATACAGAAATTTCATCTCAACTTTGGTTATTTATGTGTAGAAATAAATTTTACGTTGTATGAAGTTATGATTTGAGATTTTTCATTTTTAATATCTACATTCTGAAAGTGAACATGTTCCGCTATTAACGTAGTACCTTTATCCATTGAGCTTTCGTTAGGGTTAACCAACTCAGAATAGTTTTGTAATATTAAGGAATAACCTCCTAATAGTAACAAACTGGTGTAGTCCAAACATTATCATGAGAATGGTAGTTGTTACTAAACCATTTATATTCAACACACATAAATGATTAAATGATCTCTAAATTGAATGATTTTTATGATTTTTAGATAATAATAAAAGAATGAAAAGTTTCGATTATAATGATTGTACAAACATTAATAATCACAAGTGGGTGGACAAGAGATTCCCCCATATTGTTTAACTGTATTAGTTGATTTAGTCATTGTGTTGCCACTTAGTACTACAGTTTAATGGTAATCATCTTCACTTGTAAGTGAGAGGTCTTAGATTCGATTCACGAGCAGAGGCAAATTTGAGCCACATTATTACTAACTCATTGTGAGTGACTCCATTAACGGGGAAAGTTGGTCAATTATGTCTAATAAGTAAAGTTGAAGAGAAATGCATAAACATTTCACAAAATAGCAAAAGTGGTTATCATTTGAAAACTATAAAATTAAAGTTAGAAAAACTTATAGTATAGTAAAAGGTGAAACAAAAACATCTCTAAGATTCAATTCAACCTCAAAGGGTTGGTCGGAAGCTAGTAAAAGTTTCGAACCTCCAATTTTAATTGAAATTTTCCCACGGACGTATTTGCTTTGACATACCGTTATATTTAAGAGCTAAAAGTACATTGTTGTCTTATGTAGTATCGGGTCTACATAGAAAAGGGGTCTACACCAATGTGTGCTAGAATACCTACTATATTTAAAAGTAAAATGCCAATTGGCCAAAAAGATAACGTGCAACAACTAAAAAATAATCAAACATAATGATCATTTTGGCATATAAGCCTCTGATTTTAAGAATGGAATGATGCATTGGAAGCAAGCATATGCATTAATTTGGCCAAATTAAAACTACAGGGACTACAATGGTAATGTGAGTAAAACATATGAACTATTTGAGCTTTATATAGTTTTTTCTTGCATTCTTGCATCATATTAGAGTCATCAAAACTTCTCTTGATACCACATCTGACATGTGACACTAGAATATTTATTTATCAAAACACATTAATTTTATGACTAAAATGCAAGAGTACATCAAACACATTTACAAAACAACTATAAAATAAAAATAACACGCACGCAAGAGCAAAATTAACATGGGCAAAAGTCACACTAACAACAAGAAAGCCGAAATCATATAAATTAAGCATGGTCCCTGACGAAGTTCACATAAGTGAAAACAACATAAACCCTAAAAAAATGCCACCACCACTGGCTGAAAGAGTGTCGCCAATAACCAGCCTATGAAACGGATCTTTAAAAAAAAACTTGATCTCCAGCAACTCAAACAATAA